CCGGCGCCGCCCGCGTCCCGGCTGTGGGCTCGGGGGGGGCCTCTGCCCTGCCGCCCTCGGTGCCCCCAGCGCCGCGGAAGGGGTGTCGCCTGCCTCCGAGGGCCCTGGGTGCTGCGGGCGGTCTGTCCCGGGGCTCCCGTCTCCGTGGTCTTGCCGTGGACGCCTTCGTTCGGGAAAGGGGCGCGCTGACTTTTTAAACGCTTGTTAAATTCTGGCTTTTAGCGGGCCGGAATAGTGCCTCCGTGTCAGCGTTGTTGCCTTCTGCGAAGTCCTTTTTAGATACAGACACCCGAAGAGTTCATTCAATTCTTGCGGGCCTGTTCTAATATATTTCTTCAGCTTCTGCTGTTGGTGGTGGGAGTGACGCTGGCCTTAAAATTGCGCTCCGGTATTGTTAATTTAAAGGTTTAAAGTATTTGGCCAGAAAGTAGCTAGAAAAATACGTGACTCGGAAACCAAAATAGTACCATCTGAACTCAGACCAGTTTTAAAAGCGTAGCTTCTTGTTAGTGATTGACCGGCTGGCTGGTGCAGCGAAGCACCAGGTTGATGTAGCTGAAACACAACAGGGGGCTGCAGCACCTGTCAGCCTGCAGGTGGTTTTAGCAGAGCCGTTCCGTGGTGCGGAGCCTTGCTTGGGGCATGCAAAACACTATGTAATCTGACTTCATGCCACAGTTGTCTGTCTGGGACCTTCAGAAGGTTGGTTTGTTCTTTAGGTGAGAAGGAGTGGCTAGATCTTTCACTTAGTGTTTCCTGTGTTCCCTTTCTTTTTTCAACTCTGCCACTAGGTTTTGAGATATACAGGGTAACCAGCAGAAGAAGAATAATGTCTCTATATACAAATTAAGCTTTATAATATTGCTAGAATTTGTGAGACTGGTGAAGCTGTTTAATTGCTTGAAATCAAACTAACCAAAAAGTTTTGGTCCTGTCAGGCTTCTCTGTTTTTATGTAGATTGTTTTGCTCTTTGAAAACTACCTTGAAGAGTTACTTCACGGTATTTCTTGGTATGGCTTTTTCATTATTGAATAGACTTCCTCTGTGTTCTTTTCCGGACCTACTGTGTATTCTTTCTTAATAATTCTATTAGTTTAATCTTTTTATATAATACTTAATTGGACACTGGTTCTTTTTTTTCACTAGATATTTTGTTGCTTTAGCTGGTGAAGTAGTTGGAGGATGTTCATACCCTTCTGTTCCATTTTTAATATAATGAAGATGTTAAAATAAATATGAGTGCTTCAGTAGTGGCTTGAACTCAAGCTTTCATTGCATTGTTTTCAATGAAAGGGTGAGGGAAACTACTTTAGAGTTTCTTATCTCAGCAGTATATAATGAAAAATGATGATTTTAACCCCCCCAAAAAACCCCACCCAAACAACAAAGAAACAAAAAACCCCAACAATTTGAATATCTTGCCTGTTACAGTTAGAACACCACTAAAATTTACAAACCAGCGGCTGTATTTACGAGTTTGACTTGTTCTTGTGAATAGTTCCTGTGAAATAGGTAATTTAATTTAAATATACAATTAGAATAATTTATATTTAATGTAAATACAAGATTTCTAGATAAGTGTTTGCAAGAGTTGGGCTCTTGAGGCTAATATGTAGTGAAGTACTCAAAGATGTGAATAATAGGAGCCACTGTCTTGTTATGATTTGCAGAGGGAGGAGGACAGGAATAATTGCTTATATGAAAGAACTACATTTGTGTTATCCTAGGAATCACAAGATAAATATTTGAGGTGTTCCTTCAGATTAGATAGGCTTTCCCCCCCTCCTCTGTCAGCCTTAATGAAAAGGTTAATTGCCGAAGAATAGATTGGAATTACTGCCTGTGGGCAGTTTTACATTTGTCATTTTCTATGTTACTGTTTTATTCATAAGAGAGTTAAAGAGATACATTTGATAAAATGATCTCGCCTTCCTTTTTAAAAGCTATCCCAGAAGGGGTGGGTGATGCCACTTGGGTCTGCTTTATTTCTTAGCCCTTCTTGGTGCAATAGGAGAAGTTTATCAGTTGTCCACGGTTTCTTCCGCAGAATTTTCCTACTTAATCTCTATGAAAAATGCAGTATAACTCTAAAGGAGGTACATATTTCTCATTGTTGTTAGTAATTTTACCAGCATTAGGAACTATGTTTGCAGAACAGCACTGGCTTCTTTATTAGTACTGAAATGACAAATAGAAGGTGACAATAGTTATGCTGTCAGGATGTGTTGATCTCTGCGTCTGACGACGCTACTGTAATGAGCACAGAGATTTACATCATACATGCTCAGAAGGTGTTAGACTATAATTTAGGTATTCACAACATATCTTAGGCAAACGAGTCCCATTAAGTTATTCAACTGTACTTGTGGAACTGTATGCTTAAGGTAATTTGTGGTTAGTGTTGTTTTTGCCCCGGTTTCAGTAAGAGTCCAGGTAAAACATATGTCAAACCCATTTGTTATTAGAGTAATTTTTAATGCAACTTCACTTGTGATACCTTGTTCACTTTGGTCTCTTAAGACTGTTAATGTCCAAAGCTTTTACCAAGGCTGGGTGATGCTAAATGAAGGAAGGGAGTTTTGTGACTTTTCATTTTTACCGTAATAATTTCTGGCTGGATGAATCATTAGGAAATCATGTTACACATTTTCTAACATTAGGAACATTAAAAAAGAATGTGGGGGGGGGGGGGGTAACATTAAGTTTAATCCCTCATTGAAGTATCTGAGCAGTATTCAGTTTGAGGAAAGATAATGCCTGTCTAGTTGAAGTTAAATTATGACATCTGGTGGATAACTACTAGGCTGAAATGCTGATTCAGCTGAACTTTTAAAGAGTGATATCAGAATTACTCTATACACCCTGGGGATGCTGTCACATCCTGGTTCCATTCCAGATCCGGAGGTTAAGAACACACTCATGTGAATACAATGAATGACAAACCGGTTCCAGTATAATGGAAACATTGTTTGCGTCTAGTTGAAGGTATCCTCCTGAGGAAGTTCAGTAGGTGTTTTGCATCAGATTTGTTCAGTTAATGGTGCTAGGGATCTGCTGTTTTTCTTGGGTCTTCTGAGTGAAGAAAGTAGCAAGTATTTGTTTTAAAGAAAAGAGTTGTTGCTAGCCATGATTTAGGTGAACAACTCTGGAATCAGAATTTTTAGTTTCAGTAGACAGTTTCCATTGGATTAAATGGACATTATATAAAGTCTACATTATAGTCTAGTGTAGGGGAGAAATAATACTTTAGCCATGGTCTTCAGCAGAAGTCATTTGCCATATGTGGCAACAGCCCATTTTTAGCACATTTACGCTATCTTGGGGCACAGTACCACCTCAGCTGACTAACTGGTTACTGCAGAACTGCCCTGTGTGTAAATTCCACAGGCCAACTTCCAGTCTTCTGAAATGGCTTTGACAAATAGCAAATAATTTCTGAGTGAGATCATATTTGTAGTGTTACTGGGCTGTTTATAGTTATAAACATTGTAAACTCCTGTTTTAATTCTTTCTGACAAGTGGATTGGGTAGCAAGTAAGAAATTCTGTAGCTATTGTTCTGTGCTGGAATAGAGCACAACCTGCCATTCCTGGGCAGAACAGGCTATTTATACCTCACTTTTGGAGGTATGTATTCTTCTAAATTTTTCACATAAAATAATATTTATCCCCCCCCGCCCCCCTAATAAGTTGCTGTATCTATTCTGCAA